ATTTTTTTCTGATAAAAGAATCAAAAGTTTTTTGAGTATATTTTTATTAATTCATTAGGACATCTACTTTCTTTATTTGTTGAATATTAGATGATTATTTACGACCCCAATAGTAGCCACGTTTAATTCCACTATAAATAAAAATTCGAATTTTATAGATCAGAATTATTAAAAATCAAAAATTAAAAAATTCTGATTTTAAAAAATTCAGACAAGTCAAGGAAAAGACAAATCAAGAAACGACCAATTCAAGGACCAACTCACGAAATGGCTAAAACATGGAATATTTTAAAAATCGGAATTTTTTGAAAAATCTTAATATTTTTTTAAAAAAGAATTTTTAAAAAAAATTTGACTACTTTAAAAAACAAAATTGGAAAAAAATTCTGAAAAATATTTAGATTTTTCAAAAAAAATTCCGATTTTTAAAATATTCCGTGAGTTGGTCGTTCCTTGTCATGTCGTTCGATTTGTCTTTCCCTTTAGTTAGCATGACACGGTTTTTTGTTAGTTTTATTAATTCATCAGGACATCTACTTTTTTTTTAGTTGTTGGGTCTTGGTGGAACACCCCAATTGCCATAACCGCGTTTAATTCCACTGAAAATAAAAATCAGAATTTTTAGAAATCAGAATTTTTAGAAAACAGAATTTTTAGAAATCAGAATTATTAAAAATCAGAATTATTAAAAATCAGAATTATTAGAAGTCAGAATTTTTAGAAAACAGAATTTTTAGAAATCAGAATTATTAAAAATCAGAATTATTAAAAATCAGAATTATTAGAAGTCAGAATTTTTAAAAATCAGAATTTTATCTTTAAAAATAAATAAGTAATATAATTACTGTTCATTTCCTCCTATTTCTCCAGCAATTGCAGATTCAATCATTGCCATAATAAACGCGACAAGCAAAGCAAGTAAAAATTCCTTCATTTTATTTTTTACAATAAGATTATATTTTTATTTTATGAGTTGAGGTAAACAAATAATTTTAACTTTTATACCCATCTTCCGGAAGCCCGCGGGGCATTTTTTAATAAATTAAAAAATTTTTTTTTTGAATTTTAAATCAAAAAATTATTTTGATTTATTTATTTTGAATTAAAAATTTTTTTTTAAATATTAGTAAAATTTGTTTTCATTTAAACAAAAGAATGTAAAAATAAAAAAATATCTTGTTTACCCAAAAATTTTATTTTTTTTAAATAAATTATCTAGGCAATACATCATTAAATTAATTGGCTGTTTTTTACAATTTTTAGATTTTTTTTTAAATATCTAAAATTATTATTGAAAATAACATATGATAAAATTAAAATATTACTAAAAGTACATATGTACTTTTATATTTTTTAAGTTCAAACTTAAAACTTTAAATAAGAATTTCAGGTTTTAACGTAAAATCAGAATTCCAAGTTCAAACTTAAAAAATAAAGCAGAATTAAAACAAAATCAGAATTCCAAGTTTAAACTTGAAATTAAAATCAGAATTTCAAGTTTAATTATTTCTCTAGAATAATAAACCAGAATACTAATTTAAATCAGAATTTAGAATAATAAAATCAGAATTTCAACTTTTTACCTTAAAATCAGAATAAATTTATTCTGACTTAAAACTTAATTATTTATCCAAACATTAAAACTTAAGTTCATAAATAGTAAACTTAAGTTTAAGCTTTTAAATCAGAATTTAAAAAATAAACTTAAGTTTGACTTTTTAATAAACTTGAAGACATTGTAATAAAATTTAAAACTTAAGTTTAAACTGAAAACTTAATTTTAAATGTAAGTTAAATTAAAATTTAATTAATGAAGAAATAAAATTTTTGGAAATTATTACTATTTTTTAACTTTTTGTTTATTCATCCTTCAACGCTTGAGTTAAATAAAATAGTAAATATTTTTTAAAAATTATATGTATATTATTTTTAAAAAATTTTATAAAAATTAAAAAGTGCAAAATTGTGGGTTTCAAAAACAAAAAAACAAGTCTAGCATGAAACTGATTAAATAAAAAATAATTTAGAAATGAATATATAAACCCCTCAAGCTTGGTAAAAATCAACTTCATCTCCTCTCCATCCCTTCAAAAAATACCAAAAAACTTCAAAAGCTTCGAAAAAATGTTCAAAACATTTTTAATATTAACCTTTACCATTTGGCTACTTTGCTTAACTACTGCAACTAAAAATAAGTCTAATGGTCTACTCGACGAATTATTAGATTTGGAACTAGCTAAGAAGCTAGTTAAAGAGATTAATATAAAAGCTGCTGGAATATGGACTGCCTCGGTTAACGAATTGAGTCGTTTGCCGTTGGCAAAGCAAAAGATCCTTTGTGGAGTTAAACTCAGTGCTGAGCTAAAAATAAACAAAACTGAAGCAACCCCTCCCAAGTTTGATACAAAACCAGGCTGTGAATGCTTCCCAAAAGTTGATTTTGACGCCAGAACCAACTGGTCTGGGTGTTCTCAAATAATTGGACGTATTCAAAATCAAGGACAATGTGGCAGTTGTTGGGCAGTTTCCACGGCTTCAGCCTATACTGATCGTTACTGCATTGCTAGAGCCAAGAAGGGACAGAATTCCCCATCAAATGATGCTGGTTATCAATTTTCTGCTTTAGACGTGCTTACATGTTCAATGCAAGGAGATGGTTGCCGTGGTGGCTGGCCTTATAGTGCTTGGCAGTGGATACAAACCAAGGGAGTTTGTACTGGAACTGATTATACTTGGAAAAGTGGATGCAAACCTTATCCTTTCTCACCGAATCAAGCAGGGCCTGCTCCTCCATGTATGTCGTCATGCACAGCAAGTTGGAGAACCGCTTATCCACAGGATAAACATATGGGTATGTTTATTGGAAAAAATTTTCTTTAATTAATAAAAAAATAAAGGAGTATCAGCTGCCCAACTTTCTGGAAGTCAAGCAACTGTAGCAGCCATTCAAAGAGAAATACAAACAAATGGGCCTGTTGTAGCTATTTTCGCTGTCTACTCAGATTTTATGTCTTACAGATCTGGAGTCTATTTTGTATGTAAATTAATAAAATATAGTTGGACATCGCTATCAGAGATGTGCGCCAAAAGTGGCAACATTCAAATTGCTAAAACACGCCAAAGTCAGAACGCCAAAATCGACCAAAATAACGCCAAACGTCATAGCGCACATTCTTGATAGCTACATATAAGATACTCTCTATGGATGGACCTTTAATATATACCTTTAACCTATTAAACTAGGAGTATCGTTTAGGCAGCTCTCCTAACCAGTTGCTAACCTAAACTTAAGAAGTGTATAGTAAACTGAGTCTAAAAAATTTTTTTATTAAAGAGAACTAGCAATCAATTAGTTGGTTACCATGCTGTTCGTATCATTGGATGGGGAACACAAACATGCTTCACCAGTAATCAAAAAGTTGACTTTTGGATAGGAGCAAATTCTTGGGGTACTGGATGGGGAGAATATGGCTTTTTCAAAATCCGACGTGGAGTGAATGAAGTTGGATTCGAACAATCAGGGATTTCGTTTGGAATTCCTAAAGCTTAATTTTGGTCGATTCAAATATTTTATTAGTTATACTTTAGTATTTATATGTTAATTATATTTTTAACTAGCTTATAATTATATTTTTTATATGCTTAGAATCAGAATAAACTTAGTAGTATGTACATATAATATTCTAAATATTTAATTAAGGTAATAAAAATAATTAGCTGAAATGTGAAATCAGAATCTTAGATTTTTTAGTTAAATTAAATTAATAAGACAGATAATTAATTTAAACTTAGAATCAGAACATATATTCTGATCTTAAAACTTAATTTGAAACTTAAAAATTCATGCTTAAAAACACAGCAAACTTAAGTCTGACATTTTAATAAACCCCCATTGTATTCTGTGACCAGGTCCTTATAGAAGTCGCAAACCTCATATAGTATAATTCAGGGATTCAACCATATTCAAATGAAAGAACCCTATGCAAATGAAAAACCATTAAATTTCCAAAATAATATGTCCTAAAATAACCAGTACAAATATTAACTCATGCAAAGATCAACACACATTACTAATCTTAAATGTATTTTAATAAATAGCAGATCTTATTTAACAAAATTAAAGAACTATGGTACTATCTCCCCCTGTAAGATTCGAGTAATCTTACTTAAATTTATTTATTTTCTCAATCTAGAGGTCTTAAAACAATTTATTTTAAGAATATTTTATCAACAAATTATTTAAATTTTAAGTTCAATATAAGGTTCACTTATATGTGTATTATATGTATCAATTATATGTGTAGTTGGGGAGAAGAGTTGATTAGATAGAGGGAAATGGGCGGAGGATTATGTAAATAAAAAGGTGAAAAGGTTGAATACTTACTATGTTGACTGAGACATTTATTCGAATTTAAAGAAGGGAATTGCAAATCAGAATATTAAATGCTATAAATGATAAGATGGGAAATTGTTGTGAGGGGAAACATAATTTGAATAATTGGGAAAACATTATTAGTTGAATAATATAAGGGCATCTGACTGAAAAACCCTTGTGCTATTAAGTTGAGATTAGATAAACACGACTTGTAGTAATCAGCCAATCCTGTCACGGGTTTGTAAGACGTCGTGCTTCAGTAATATATTACCTAAATATAATTATGAATGTAAATAAAAATTTAAATTGATGATGAAATAAAATTTTGGAAATGTTTACTATTTTTTTTACTTTTTGTTTGTTCATCTTTTAACGTTTAAGGTAAATAAAATTAGTAAATATTTTTAAATATAATTTATATATTATTTTTAAAAATTTTATAAAGTAAAAAGTGCAAAATTGTGGGTTTCTAAAAACAAAAAAAACAAGTCTAGCATTGAATCTGGGTAAATAAAAAATAATTTAGAAAAGTCATATATAAACCCCCTAAAGCTTGGTAAAAAGCAACTTCATCTCCTCTCATAATTCTCCTCTCTTTCCCTCAAAAATCCAAAAGCATCAAAAAATGTCCAAAACATTTTTAATTCTAACCTTCACCATTTGGTTGCTTTCCTCAACTACTGCTACTAAAAATAAATCTAATGGTCTACTCGACGAATTATTAGATTTGGAACTAGCTAAGAAGCTAGTTAAAGAGATTAATGTAAAAGCTGCTGGAATATGGACTGCTTCAGTTAACGAGTTGAGTCGTTTGCCTTTGGCAAAGCAAAAGATCCTTTGTGGGGCTAAACTCAGTGCTGAACTGAAATTAAACAAAACCGAAGCAGAACCTCCAAAATTCAATACAAAAGCGGGAGCTCAATGCACCACAAAGATAGATTTTGACGCCAGAACTCAATGGCCTGGATGTTCCTCAATTATCGGACGAATTCAAAATCAAGGCCAATGTGGCAGTTGTTGGGCAGTTTCCACGGCTTCTGCCTTTACTGATCGTTACTGCATTGCTAGAGCCAAGAAGGGACAGAATTCTGCAGGAAATGATGCCTCTCTTCAATTTTCGGCTCTAGACGTGCTAACATGTTCAATGCAGGGAGATGGTTGCTGGGGTGGTTCGCCTTCTCAAGCCTGGAGATGGATACAAACTACGGGGGTTTGTACTGGAACTGATTATAACTGGAGAAGTGGATGTAAACCTTATCCTTTCTCGCCGAGCCAAGCTGGGCCTGCCCCTCCATGCAAGTCGTCGTGCACAGCAAGCTGGAAAACTGCTTATCCACAGGATAAACATATGGGTAATCTATTTGAATTTATTTAACAATATTGGCCTTATGCGCCCATATATATCAGCTTTCCCTTAGATTCCATAATCCATCATCGGGTTGGATGGTGGCTAGAGCTGTCCGAGACCGAAAATTTTCCAAGATTCGAGACCAAGACTCAAGACATAGACTAGACTAGAGCTCGGCACGGGACGGGACCCCGTACGGGATTTTACGGGATCCCGTCCCGGAATCCCGGGTTTTTAGCGAAAAACGGGATTACCGGGATTCCGGGATTTACGGGATTAATCACGCGGGATCCCGTCCCGTTCAAAATTTTTAAACTCAATCCCGTTCCGGGATCCCGGGAATTTTTTTCCAATTTACGGGATTTATAATTACTCCAGAAAACTGCCTGCGGAGCTGAAAAAGGAAGAAATCTGGCTTCTTGGCCTTCCAAAATTCTCTAAATTTTCGCCTGCGGCGCTGAAAAAGGAAGAAATCTGGGGAATTGCTCTTCAAAAATTCTCAAAATTTTCGCCTGCGCCGCTAAAAAATGAAAAAAGCTGGCTTCTTAGCCTTCCAAAAGACTAAAGTCGGCTTCTCCTTCCAAAATTAGAAAGTTTTGCCTGTGGTGGATAGATTAAGAGTAATAAGAATGGATTTTGGGATTAACAGAGATATAGAGGGATTGTGAGATGTACGTTGGTTTGTGAAGTTCAATTCCGGAGGATTAAGAAATATATGATGTTGGGGTATTGGAAAGGGATATCATCGATTTGGGATTAACACAGGATTATGAGGGATTTGGAGGATAATAGGTGGTATCAGGGATTTATGGATTAAGAGGTATATCAAGGATCTGAGGATTAAGAGTATATTGAGGGATTAGAGGAATAATCCCCATATATCCATTCAAATCCAGTTGAGTCCCTAAATCCGCTATAGCCTTTACCCACCGTTCCTCATATCAACCTTTATCACTCCAAATATACCGATATCCCCTAAATCCATCTATAAGCATCAGATCCTCTTAATCCCTCTTAATCCACTGATATCCTTCTTAATCCTCTGTTATCTATTCATTCCTCTCTTAACCCGTCGAAATCCACCGATATTATCTTCAAATCCGCCGATATTCAACATATCTATGAGTAAAAATTTTTTTTGTGAAAATCCCAGAATCCCGGCGGGATCCCGGTAAATTTGAAAACGGGATTACCGGGATAACGGGATTTACGGGATTAATCCCGCGGGATCCCGTCCCGTACAAAATTTTGAAAAAAATCCCGTTCCGGGATCCCGGGTATGCGATTTTGCCGACCTCTAGACTAGACCCCAAGACCAAGACCCAAGAAAAGTTTTGAGTCAAGACTCAAGACCAAGAGTCTCGGATAGCTCTAATGGTGGCACAGTCGAGTGTGCTTCGGTCTGGGCTCTTTCCATGATGGTTCTATTCCATCTCCAATCCAATGAATTTTTCCACAGCATGAACATGTATGTATATAATAGAACCTATAGCTAGGAAAGAATATTCGGTCTCTTCTGATCTGAATACCCGGGTCATTATACTAACTGTTAGAAAATCAGAAATAAAACATTATGGGACGCATAAGATTGAAATGAACAGAATTTTTTAAATTAAAAAAAATAAAGGAACATCCTCTGGTGCACTTTATGGAAATCAAGCAACTGTAGCAGCCATACAAAGAGAAATACAAACAAATGGGCCTGTTGTTACTGTTTTCCTTGCCTATCAGGATTTTATGTCCTACAGATCTGGAGTCTATTTCGTGAGTAAATGATACCCTAAAAAATAATTTTAAAAATATTCTAAAGAGAACAACCAATCAACGTGTAGGATATCACGCTGTTAGAGTCCTTGGATGGGGGACGCAAACTTGTGGGAGCCAAAAAATTGACTTTTGGATAGCGGCGAATTCGTGGGGTACTAATTGGGGGGAAGCTGGGTTCTTCAAAATCCGTCGGGGAGTGAATGAAGTTGAATTTGAAAAATCAGAAATTTCTTATGGAATTCCTAAAGTGTAATTTTGGGTGATTCAAATATTTTATTTTTATATTTTAGTGTGTAGTATTTATATGTTAATTATATTTTTATATAACTAAGTAGAATCAGAATAAACTTAGTAAAATATTTTCGTTAAGAGTGTTATAAATATTTGGTTAAAACTTGAAATCAGAATTTACTCAAGTTTAATTAATTATTTTAAAATGATAAAACAGACTAGTATATTAACCAAACTTAAGACCATAAAATATATTCTGATTTTAAAACTTAAGTTCAAACTTAAAACTTTAAATCATAATTTAAAACAATAATGGAAAACTTAAGTTTGTCATTTTAGTCAACTTGGATAAACTTTAATATAAATTAAAAATTAAGATTAAACTTAAAATATAAATAAGCTTAAGTTCAAACTTAAAATTAACTAAACTTAAGTTCAAGCTTAAAACTTGACTAGGCTCAAGCTCAAACTTGAAATTTTAATAAACTTGGAAAAATTAATACAACTTAAAATTAAGCTCAAGCTTAAAACTTTAAAATCAGAAAAAATCAGAATAATAAAATCAAATTGTTTCAAAAAAAATAATAGTGAAAGTAAAAAAATATTTATGAAAATTTCTCCAAATAATGTGGGATAGATTGACGTTTATATTCTTCTAGTGGAATTAAATCTGCCGATGGTCTCCTTAGAATATTATAGTTTTGGTAAAAATAGGAGAGGAAGAATCCAGTAAACCATGGGATCCATTTATGCCTTTTCTGTCGACGCCTTTTAATTTAAAAAATATTTTTTTATTTTTTTGATCAAAATACCAAATTGTAAAGCGTAATATTAAAGCAAAACAAAGTCCAGTAGAATAAAAATTAAATTGCCTTAACCAAGAAAGTGCCGCTTGCGCTTTTGGTAAATTTTCTAGGCGTTCTTTTAACATGTAAATCTGGAAATATTTTTGTTTCAAAATTTAACTTCACATACAAATTTACCTTAATTCCCATCAAATAGTTGAATAAATAGGTATCCCAATCAACTTTACGAATATCAAAGTTGTACAACTTTAATTAAATATATAATTTATAAATTAAGTACTTAAGTTTTGAGAATTTATTTAATTTCAAGTTTATTTAAGCTTCAAGTTTATTTATTTTTAAGTTTAGCCTTAATTTAAATTTTAAGTTTATTTTAAAGTTTATTTAGTTAATTTTCAAGCTCAATCATAAGGGTAATTTAGTAATTCAAGTTTAATTTAAAGTTTATTTAACTTTCAAGTTTAATCTTAAATCTATGCTTCAAGTTTATTTTTAAATTTCCAAGTTTAATCTTAAGTTTTAACATTAATAAAAACTATTTTCCTTCAAACCTTTTTATCCTCCATGCTCATTCCATTCCACAACTTAACAGCATTTTTCGATTCAAAAGTCCATTCACGTGTAGTAAAATAATGCAAAGTTTCCATCATCCTCCATATTTTGTTGTATATTTTAACAAATCTGTTAATATTTAAATTTATTTTTAAATTAATTTTTGACTAACTTTGGCCTCTTTCCAACCAATTTAAAGGCACGATCGGCAGCCTGGGCAATTAAATAATGTTTCAAATAAAAATTTATCAAAAATATTTTTCTTTGACGATGAAATTGTGTTGAAGGAACCTTTAATTTTATTCAAAAATTAAAAAAATTAATAATTTTTCAAGTCACCCTGTAGCACTGATCAAAGGGATATGCATGGAAAAACTGCTCCAAATAGTTTACAATTCTACAAAATTAATTATCAAAACTTAAGCTTATTAAACTAGGAAAGTTTATTAATCAATTTCAAGTTTATTTTATATTTACAAAAGTTTTAAGTTTATTTATTAAAATGCTTCAAGTTTATTTTTCAAAATGTTTCAAGTTTATTTATTTTAAGTTTATTTTAAGATTGTAAATGCTTCAAGTTTATTTATAGAAATGTTTCAAGTTTATTTTAAATTGCACTATTGTAAATGCTTCAAGTTTATTTTATAATTTAAGTTTATTTCATATTGTAAAACTTTTACAAATTGTAAAAGTTTCAAGTTTATTTATTAAGTTTTTATTTTACAATTACTCGAGTTAATTTATTTTAATTATTAAAAGTTTCAAGTTTACAACCTTCTCCACTTTAACGGATTTAATTCGCCTGAAGTACAATGTATTATTGGTATTGTCGTTGTTTTTTCATTATTTTCTTTCTTATTAGGCCTTTAATTTTTAAAATAAAATTAAATCCTATTTTTTAAATTAAAAAACATTTTAGCTCTATAAACAGCAGCAGCAATCAACATATTAGCAACAATATCAACAGGAATAATATCTGTTTTTATATCCACATTTCCACACATATCAGTTAATAATCCTTTTCCAACTCCAATAAATATTCCTGTAGGTCCGTTAACATTATCAATCCATCCGGGAAGGGGTTCCTTCCATATAGCACCGACAATGGAAGGTCGAATGATTATTATAGGGAGGGAAGGAAATTGTTTCTGTTGTTCTAACAACTATAAAAAATTAAAAAAATTTAATTGAAAATTATAAACTTGAAACTTTAAGTTTCCCTTTGAACTTAAGTTTTCTAATAAATTCAAGTTTATTTTTTAAAAACTTAAGTTTTCGAACAAAGTTGTAAATTAACTTAAGCTTGTGAAAAAATTAAAGATTAAACTTGAGTTTTCGAAAAATCCAAGTTCATTTATTAAACTTAAGTTTTAATAAATAAACTTGAAATTAAGCTTCAAGTTTATTATTTATAGTTTCAAGTTTATTTTTATTTTTTTTTGTTTCAAGTTTTAATTATTCAAATACCTGACTTTCTGCTAATGCTTTAGCAAAAGTATAAGTATTTGGGCGATTCTAAATTTTTAAAAAAATATTTTGTATTAAAAAAATTTTCAAAATTAAAATACATCAAGTAATTGAGCAGAAAGGGAATCAAGCATTTTTTCATCCATCCAACTACTTGCTGCTTCAACTAATTTAGAAGCATTAACACAAGGTTCATAAATATGCTCTGAAGTATATTCTTTATTACAATTAGCATAGGCTGTGGATGTGTGGACAAATGCCTTTTTTAAAATTATTCAGAAAAATTAAAAAATTATTTTTACTCGGAGCTGTTTCATTCGTCTACAAAGTGCAGTCAATCGCTGTGTTCCTATTACATTCCTTTAAATAATTTTTTTTTATTTTTTAAAAATTATTTTATCAATATTTAATTCTTAAAATTCACTAACATTTGAATAGAAGCGCGCAAAGCTTCATCAAATTTTACCGTTGCCGCACAATGAAAAACTTAAAGAAATAAATTATTAATTAAACTTGAAGCAGATTTTTTAAATTAACGTTATTTTTATTAAAACTTGAAACAGGCGGAATTTTACAAAAATTTTAATATTTATTAAAACTTGAAGCAGGCTGATTTAAAATTGTTTTTAAAATTGTTATATGACATTAGAAGCAGGCGAAAACTTGAACTAAAAAATAATTAGAACTTGAAACAGGCGGATTTTTTAATTTCAATTCTGATTGCTTCACAACCACTTAACTTAAAGCAAACTCCATTATAAACTCATACCAATAGAAACTTCATTAGCTAGTGTTTCTTGATCTTCACAACTAAGACCCAGATCTTCTTGCATCAAATCCCCACATATAGGCACAAGCATTCTTTCAAGTCTATTTTCATCCTTGCAACGTATTCGGCTAAACAATGGGCTCTAAAAATAAAATAAAAAAGTTGAAGCAGAAGCAAAAATTTTTAATTTACCTCAAGTATTTTTGACAGTCTTAAATGCGGTGCTTCACCATTCAAAGGGCGTAACAACAAATATATTTTATTTAATTTGGGTTGAGAATAAACCAACTTTTCCAGTAGCACTTTACCTAAAAAGCCGCTAGCGCCTGTTATCAAAACACTAAAAAATTAATTTTAAAAATATTAAAACTCTAATTAAACACCTAACACCCCCATAATATTCTGAAATGTTTAATGGCTCTTCTAGCATTTTAATTTCATCAATGGTTGATGTACTAGTGGTTGTAGGGGTTAAATTATTATTATTCATTTTTAAAAATATTAATTAGTAAAAATATGAAGCAGGCTGAATTTAGTTATTATTAATACATGAAGCAGGCGGAATTTACTAAAATAAAACTTGAAATAATTTTCAAGTTTATTTTCTATTAAAACTTGAAACTAAGTTTATTAAATAAAACTTCGAAGTAATAATTTTCAATAAAACTTGAAGCAGGCGGAATTAATTAAATTAATTGTAAAACAGGCGGAATAAGTAACCTAATCTAAAAAATTAAATATTAAGTTTGAACTTGAAACAGGCGGAATTTTTTAACTAAAATATTAACTGAGCCTTAATTTATATTTTTATCAAACTTGAAACAGGCGGAATTATGTATATTAATTAAAATAGAGATCAGGTTCAATTATATAAATAAATATTAAATCAAAACTTGAAGCAGGCGGAATTTATTACAATAAATTATAATAAATATTTAATTTTAGGTAAAATATTAAAGCAAAATCAATCAACTCAATTATATTTACTAAATATTTTTTTATTCTCGATTTAATTCTCAATATTTTCTTAAAAACAGTACAAAGTTTTTCTTTTTATCATTTTCTTATCTTTTTTTGTAGAAAAAATTTTTTTCCAAAATTTCTTAATTATTTTTATGATCGGCAGATGTATTTATTAGTCAATTACTTAATTTATTTTAAAATATTCTAACGTTTTTTATCATTAATTTAGAGGAAGAGACAATACTAAAATTAAAAATAAAATAGGAAAAAATTCCAGAGACTGAGAAAAAATTTTTTTTTGTAAAATTGATTGTGGTCTTTTAAAAAGGATGTTAAATGAATGGCCCCATTTTTGGGAAAAATTTTTTTGAAAAAAATTTTGGGGGAAAATAATATTTAAAAATGTCTAAAAATAATTATGAAATAAATTAAATAAAAAAAGAAAATTGGGGAAATGACTTTAAA